GTTAATCACAGTTATTTTCCTCCTTTGAGTCCCACTTTCCGAGGAAAATTCCACTGCAGAAATTCAGTCAAGGAGACTGTCCTCTCGTCTCAACAACCGAAGCCTTCCTCTGCCGTCCAGGGTAACTTTTGGCTCCTAAGAGCCTCGGGGCTTTCTCCTCCCTCCTTGTTTCTCCCTGCCAGCTGTCCGATGTGGCTCCGGTGAAACTGTGCGGGGGATATTAATGGAAACGCGTTGTCTGGCGTGGAAGATACTTCTATCAGCTGTGTGAGGGATTTAAATGAAGGTACGTTGTTTGCACTCCTCGGGCTCCAAGTGATCAGTTCCAGAGCTCTACCAGTGTGGTTACTAGGGCTCGATGGAAGAGCTTCACTTCTCTGGGGAGGGAGAGGAGGACTCCGGATCAATTAGCAGGAGCTATGCTAGCATTATTTGGGCTCCACGGCTTCAGAATCCAGCTTTTTGGGGCTTGTTTTTTGGGATCAGGTTTACTCACAGTTACTGGTGCAAGCAGCTTTATAGGGAGATAGTGCTCCAGGAGTGAGAGCTTCACCTTCTTAGTTGGGCGCCGCCATGATCAGTCCATGATCTTCCACCTCCTTCCCTCCCTCTCTCTCGAATTGTTCCCACCCCACAAGGTCCAGAAGTCTCTTCCAATTAAAAGTTCTGAATATGATCATGTGGGCATCTTCAGGTGGTGATGAGGCCTCTGTCCATTGACCTTGACATATTTTGATAAGACTTCGCAGCTGCGCAAAAAGGGATAGAAGCTAGCAAGGAAATGGAAAGTTGAAAAGAAGAAATCATACACCCCCTCCTTTTGCTTATCCACAGTAAAGGAATGCAAAACACCTCCAGCTCTCTTCCCCCCACAATACCCCTCCCCCCCGTTGCTAATGACAGCTGAAAGAATTAAGCTTAGCAGTAGAGAAGATAAAGTAGATAGGATATGGGAGAGATAAATGAGATAGATAGCAGTTAGGGTAGCCGAAGAGATCTTGAGGCTGACAGTTAGAGCCCATTGATCACGCCCGAAGGGAGACACCAATTGTCAGCCCCATAAAGCCTGATGGGTCCTTGAGAATCTGTGGTGACTACAAGGCCACCCTCAATCACGCACTGCAACAGAGCGCCTATCCGGTACCAGTCATTCAGCATCTCCTACATTCACTTGAGGGTGGCAGAATATTTGCAAAACTAGATCTGGCCCAAGCGTATCAACAGCTGCCAGTTGATACCGAAACTGCAGAAGCCCAAACTATAGTTACACATCGTGGTGCATTCAAATGTAACAGGCTCCAGTTTGGAGTAAGCGTAACGCCAGGCATTTTTCAAAGCCTGATGGAGAGACTATTGCAGGGCATAAAAGGGGTCGTGCCCTATTTTGATGATGTACTGATAGCAGCCCCAACAAAAAGTCAATTAGAGAAATGCCTCAGAACAGTCCTAGAAAGGTTCAAAGATGCTGGCCTAAAGGTTAAGAAGGAAAAGTGCCAGTTATGCACAGAAAGGTGGAGTTTCTTGGCTACCTCCTTGACAGACAAGGAATCCAACCTACAGAAAAGAAATTGGCAGCTATCAAAAATGCCCCAAGACCCAAAAACAAAACTGACCTTCAAGCCTTCCTGGAACTCATTAACTTTTATAACATTTTCCTACCCCAGAAGGTGACTGTTGCTGAACCCCTTCATAGACTACTCGATAAAAGGGCTTCCTGGATTTGGGGACGACGGGAGGAACATGCCTTCCAGCAAGTAAAGGACCTCCTCACCTCTGATGCAGTGCTAATACAATATAACGAGACACTCCCATTGACTGTTACTTGTGATGCCTCACCGTTTGGGGTGGGGGCCATTCCGAGCCATGTCCTACCAAACGGCTCAGAAGCACCAATTGCATTTTTTTCAAGAACTTTGTCAAAAACAGAAAGAAACTATAGCCACCTAGATAAGGAAGCCTTTGCTATTGTCTCTGCGATTAAAAGGTTTCATGAATATGTATATGGGAGATCATTTTCCATTATCACAGATCATAAGCCATTACTTGGCATTCTGGCGGGCGACAAACCTACCCCACACATTCTTTCCCCTAGAATGATGCGATGGTCGGAATTCCTAGCTGCCTATGACTATCAACTAAGATATCGCCCTGGAAAATCTATTCCTCACGCTGATGCCTTGAGCCGCTCTGTGCTACCCGAACTGCAGGAAGACCCAGCTCCCACGCTACCAATACTACAAATCAAGACAATTCCCTTACCTCCACTAATGGCCCAAGACATCGCCTTTGAAACCAAAAAAGACTCATGTTTGGCACGAGTTCTTGGCTGGGTGGAGAGGGGATGGCCAGAATATGAGCCCAAGGAAACCTTTAAACCATTCAAAAACAGACAGACAGAACTCTTCTCGCAAAGAGGGTGTGTATTATGGGGAGACTGAGTTGTCATACCAACTAAACTACAAAAAAATGTCCTTCAAATGCTACACGATGGACACCCGGGCATCGTCGTATGAAAGCGCTGGCAAGAAGCTACACCTGGTGGCCAGGTATGGACAAACAAATTGAAACCTGGGTCGCCACCTGTAACAGATGCCAGGAAAATCACTCAGCCCCACCAAAAGCTCCACCAGAAGAATGGGAAACACCCAGAGGTCCCTGGTCGCTCATTCATATTGACTTTGTGGGACCTACTAAAGGACACACTTTCCTAATAACTGTAGATGCGTATTCTAACTGGCTCAAGGTCAATAAAATGAAAACAACCACTACAGAGGCAGTCATCAAGATTTTAAACAGACTCTTTGCTACACACGGCCTACCCGATGTCCTGGTTTCCAACAATGGGCCTCAATTTACTGCCTTAGCCTTTGAACAATACCTAGTTGAACGGGGCATCCGACACGCACTCACATCGCCGGCTCATCCAGCAGCAAATGGTAGGGCTGAATGAATGGTTCAGTTCACAAAGAAAACCCTACAGAAAATGGAACAAGGTAACATCCATGGAAAAGTCACTAGAATGCTGCTTCTCCAACACACCTAACAGCACAACTAACAAGAGCCCAGCTGAACTCCTGATGGCCAGGAAACTCAGATCACCTCTAGACTGCTTATACCCTGCCTACACCCTGGAAAAGCCCCTGGGTTCCAGCAACAAGCATTGCTCCTTTAAGGTAGGAGACCTTGTATTTGCAAAAAAATTTTCAGGGGATCCCCTCTGGATTCCTGCTCAAATAACTCAAGTCACGGGCCCCCGCTCCTACTGTCTACTGACCACTGATGGCAGAGCGTGGAAACACCACATTGACCAGCTACGCTCCAGACTGACCACAACTTCCATCCCTGACCCCAGCCTCGACACCAGGGGGGGAGGGGAAGCCGAGAGCCCGGAAATAGAACCAACACCTGTTCCTTCAGAACTAACCCCAAGATCACCACACCATAGCTTACAATACTCACCAGCTGTAGTTGAACCTGGGCAGATGAACACTTCACCAAGAAGCAGCAGCCAAGCAGGTTCAGCGAGCCCAAAAAACCATAGTGGTAGCAACAAAGCTGAGGACTCAGTCACCCCGAGGGCATCAGGAGAGAGTCCCAACTATGGCACCGGTTCACCGTTTCAGCTAGATAAGTAAGCAGTCCATCTGAACCCGAATTTGAACACGGACAACTGGAATTACGTAAGTCGGGTAGACAGGTACGAAGACCTGCCTACCTGCGAGACTATATAACTCCACCCCTTAAACAGAACCGAGAGGGGAGGGGTGTTCCGGACTAGCAGGCTCAAAAGCCTGCAACTCTGATTGGCCCGTGAATAGCAGATCATGATTGGTCACCGCAGACTGATCCGATTGGCTAGTAAACGGGCTGCCACGATTGGCCCAGCCAAGAGCAGCAAACTCAAATCGCCTTCATTGGCTGCCTAGCCGCAGCCAGCCCTATATAAGGGGCTGCTGCGGCTGGGATTCTTGGCTCAGATCTGAAGTCACTAATAAAGAGCTGTTGTTGTTATCTGAGTCCTGCCTCTGTTCTTGAACCATCCTCCCAGATCTAACACTAGGCTTCCCCAAAAAGCACTAAGTAAATTCTGTGTCCCAGCAAAACCTCTTTTATTAAATGAATGTGAATTCATTGCATTCACATTCAACCAATGGCCTGGCAAACAGTCTTGCAAAGCTATCATTATTAGCTCAGACCTTATCTATCTTGGAAAGCAGCCTGGTAAATATTTCCACATGCAGTTCTGAGAGGGAAGGACTGGGCACATAGTCTCTAGGTTACATAGACTAATCTTCATGAGACTGGATCAAATGAATTGTTTCCTGCAAAAAACCCTTCCCCTTTTGATCCTCTTTCAATCTTGATAGGAAGAGTCATTCATCCTCCACCATGTTAACCCTGAGTTGTTAATTGTTCCTTCCTTTTGGCAGCTCTGTGCATGTGCAGGCTGGGAACTGGTTCCAGAAGCTTCTCCACCTGTCCAAGCCTGAAGGCAGCTGATGACTGCCAGCCTGCCTTGGCCCATCTCTGCCTCTGATGCAGAGCCCTCGTCCACAGGTCTTAAAATTGCCAATTTGGACATTCCTGGCTTAGAGGGTTGGTTTAGGACTGTGGAAAAGTCTTCCATTAGTTGTGGAAACTCACTTGGGACTTGAGCCTGACTGATTTAGTCTTTCAGCCTATTATCAGGAGGAAAAGTCCTAAAAAATAAAAATTCATTCTAGGCCATAAACAAGAGTTTACCATGTGCAATAGTTAGATTAACTCAGCATACCAAGTTAAAATTAAATAACCTACCATACTGTAAAACACAGGGTGGCAATCTTGAGGCGACATTGGAGACAATACCTTTGATGTCCCCTATAGACATATTCTTTGTGAACCACAACCTGTGGCTTTCCTTTTACCACCATATTTACATGCTAGAAGCCAGTTGCTTTGTAATAGGAAAGAATTGTACAGTCTTTATGTCTTTTTCATAGCAAAGTCATCAGGGAAGCTCTGAATGTGACAATGCCATTTTTGAAGTCTTTCAAAGAGTTTTGGAGGGTTATTACCATCATCCTTTACCTGGAGAAAATGTGGCTATGTTCTGTACTCATCATCATCATCACTACACTTTTAGGTAAGTATTTCTTAACAGTGTTAGACTACAGGTTTCAGCTGGGCATATGCTCATTTATTTGAGTTCTTTGAGATGAGGTAGCATGGGATAACCTGGAAGATATCTGAGAAATTGGCAGTAAATTATCTGCAAGGAATTTCAAAAACTTCTTTACAGCAGTTACATTTTTTATTCCTTCCTGGCAGTTACAAATAAATTGATTATCTATCATCCTTTGGAAGAGAGCATCCTGATTTCCTTCCTTCCATATTTTATCCTTTCTATTTACCTAATCTGTACACCACCAGTTATATTTTCAGCAAAAAGTCCATAAAGGGCTTCCAGTCTCTAATACATGTACTTATTTCTTTTTTCTCCCTCTGTACAGCAATCCAACAATTTAGCAAATTTTGTCATCTTCTCCAGACATCCCTCCTTTGTGGATGCTTTCCAATCCTTCCAGCTTTGTATGATTAATAGTTGTGCTGCAATCAGATGGAAATATTTTTTCTAGACATGTCCACTTTGCATGTTAAAAATAAATAAATCCCTGCTTTTTTCTCTCCTCCGTTTTACTGGTTTGTTGCACTTATGAATGTGTGTGTGTGTGTGTGTGTGTGTGTGTGCTCAGTGTGCTTGTTGGTGAACATGATGAAAAATATATAAAAGCAGGGCAGAATTTATTCAAGGTAGCCTTTGTAATTAGCACAGGTGTTAGATGATGTCCCAAAGTTGCTTTTTCAAGAGGTAACTGTACTTTCTGGTTTTTCTTTGAAGACGTTTCACTTCATCTAAGAAGCTTCTTCAGCAGCAGAAGTTTCCTGGATGAGAAGCAAAATGTCTTCAAAGAAAAACCAGGAAATCCAGTTGCCTCTTGAAAAAGCACCTTTGGTATAACCATGACCTGGATGACTGAGAATTTCCATAAACATGTTGGAAGATGGTGGGTTGTAATAGCACCAAAGTTATTGATGAAGCAAGGGAGAAGGAATTATGTGTCCACCTCTCCAACTAACCTCATGAATTCTTCATTATCCTTTGTCTAGGGAGAAGCAGAGGACAATCGGTGGACCAAACATCTGGAATTGTGACTGCTACTGAAGGACAGCCTATTGTTTTCTATTGTTCCTATGAAGCACAGATTGGTGGCTCACATTACCCATACTGGTACATTCAGCACTCTGGGCAACCTCTGAAATTATTTTTGCCATGGCATGAGAAGAATATACAAGGCTTCCATGGAACTGTCCATAAAGGCAAGACAAATGGAACTTTCAATCTGCAGAAAGATGCCAGTCAGCTGAAGGACTCTGCTGCCTACTTCTGTGCCTTCAGTGACACAGTGTGACAAAGCAGATGAGCAGCCAACAGAAAAGGTACAATGGGAGTGGGGGGAGAAAAAAGCAGTGAAGGTGAGCTCAGAAATGAAAGTTCCATGAATATAGTTGGATTTATCATCCAGGTCAACTGTGCAATGGAACTGAGATGTAGACAATTGTATTAGCTGTTTGCGATACCTTGGACTAGAGGTTCCTCAGCATCTGAAATCAAGAAAAAAAATTCTTTGGAATGAGGTAAGAGAAAATGTTATCTAACCTCCTGGAACCACTTATCTCCATAGTCATGCAGAGAATCCTTTCAGGTCATTTAGATCAAGGGTTTTCAAACTTGGCAAGTCTAAGACTTGTGGACTTCAGCTCCCAGAATTCCTCCTCCAGTCATGTTAGCTCAGGAATTCTTCAACTCCCAGAATTCCTAAGCTAACATGAAGAGGAATTCTGGGAGCTGAAGTCCACAAGTCTTAAAGCTGTCAAGTTTGAAGACCCCTGATTTAGATGATAGAATTGCACATCGATCCATCTGGAAACACTTTGAACATTGGGATTCCTCTTTCTGTTTTAACTCTTTCAGGCTCTAAAATGATTGAAACTCACATTTTATATCATGCAGATTTCTCTTTCTCTCCTTCTTTCTCTCTTTCTCCCATCTATTTATCTTCTCATTTGCCTCTCCATTCAACTAGCCAGCAATATATTTTCCTTCGGAAATCACCTTCAATGCTGGGATCCTTCCTTCAGCCAATCTGCTTTCTTACACCAACTTTTAAACCACACGGTGGCAATCTTGAGACAACACGAGCCTCACCAGATGACACAGGATATCCTCTGTAGCACATATGTTCTGTGAACCATACCTTATGATTTGTCTTCATTTCTCCACCCCATTTGCATCTTAGAAGGCAATATTTTTGTAAAGGGAAAGAGATTTATAGCTTCTAAGTCTCTTTTATAGCAAATTTGGCAGGGGAGCTTTGAAGGTGACAGCACCAGCTTTGACATTCTCCAATTATTTTTTGGGCTAGTCTAGTATCCCAATTCTTCATCTGGAGAAATGCTTCTAAGGTCTCTAGTCATCATCATTATCATCATCATCATCATCTCACTTTTAAGTAGTAAGTTATTTCTTCATAATGTTAGGCTATAGGATTTGGCTGGGTATATCTTGAATTACTGGGTTCCATGGAAACAGGTAGAGCAAGATGCCTTGGATAATGTCTAGAACAAGAGTCTTCAAACTTGGCAAGTTTAAGACTTGTGGACTTCAACTCCCAGAATTCTTGAGCTAACATGACTGAAGGAAAAATTCTGAGAGTTGAAGTCCACAAGTCTTAAAGCTGTCAAGTTTGAAGACCCCGGGTCTAGAAAATTGGCAGTAGTTTATTTGCAAGGAGTTTAAAGAACTCAAGCACAAGTATTCAGCTGAAATGAGTTTGTGTACATGCATGTGTTTTCAGTGTGTTTGATGAGCGGCATAATGAAAAAAATATAAGAGGAGGAACTTGTCCAGGATAACCCTCATAATTAGCATCGAAGGTTGCAGGCAGCAAGAAAGCAGGTCCAACCAGCACCAAGGTTGTTTCTGAAAAGAGAGAAGGACTTACATGTCCACCTCCTCAACTAACCTCATGTATTCTCTATTTTCTGTCCAGGATGAAGCATGGGACAGTCAGTGGACCAAACCTCTGGTCTGGTGACTCTTACTGAAGGACAAACTGTATCTCTCTCTTGTTCCTATGAAGCACAGTATAGAGGTGAATTTGACACATACTTGTACATTCAACATCCTGGTCAACCTCTAAAATACATTCTAGATTTATCTGTCAATGAAGCTCAAGGATTTCAAGCTACTTACATTCCCCATGGAAACAAGCATGAAGGGACTTTCAGCATGCAGAAACCAGCCATCCAGTTGAATGATTCTGCTGCCTACTTCTATGCCTTCAGAGACACAGTATGATAAAGTACACGAGAAGCCAACAAAAACATAGAAAGGGGGAGAAAAGTAATGAACATTTGCTCAGCAATGAAAGTTCCTTTGGGGTTAAGGTCCCTGGCATCCAGATTTACCAGCAATGAAACTGAGGTGTTGAAAAACATATTATCCTTTCATGATATCTTGGACTAGACGTTCCTTAGTGTTTGATTCAAAGAAGAATCTGGGTTAGGATAATAGAAAATATTATTTAACCATCTTAATTCCATAGCTATGCAGGAAATGCTTTCATGTCAATTACATATAGCATTTCCAGTTGTCCATCCAGAAGCAATTTTAACATTGGAATTCATCTTTCTATTTTAACAGGCTCAAAAATGATTCCAACTCTCTCTCTCTCTCTCTCTCTCTCCCCCACTGTCTCTCTCTCTCTGTCTCTCTGTCTGTCTCTCTCTTTCTGTTTCTCTCTCTCTGTGTGTGTGTGTCTGTCTGTCTCTCTGTCTCTCTCTCCCTGTCTCTCTCTCTCCCTCTCTCTCTCTATGTCTCTCTCTGTCTCCGTCTCTCTGTCTGTCTTTCTGTGTCTTTGTCTGTCTTTCTGTCTGTCTGTCT